ACTGTGCATTACCCTAAAACACTGCACAGTAGTGCGTCACAGTAAAGACTGTACTAAGAGCCTACTGTGCAGTGTTATTAGGCTAATGCACAATAAGCGTCACTAAATAACTGCACTGGCGCTACTGCGCAGTAACTCTAGATACTTTGCATTTAGTTAGTACTTTATTAAGTGAATATTAAATTAAATGCACAGTATCTAAGAGGTGTAGGTTGTAGCTGTGTTGGTCTAAGGTCATAGGCAGACAAGGTTCTTTGGGTGAATCTGGTATCTCTTATTAGACCAACTTAAATAGTTGGAAAACAATTATTAAGCAAGCTTTCGGGTTCAAAAACCCTTCTTCAGGCTAAGGAAGTTTCTGCAGTTGGTGTGTACTCTTCCTGGATGGAATGAAAACTCCATCCAGGAAGAGCACACACCAAGTGCAGAAACTTCCTTAGCCTGACGAAGGGTTTTTGAACCCGAAAGCTTGCTTAATAATTGTTTTCCAACTATTTAAGTTGGTCTAATAAAAGATACCAGATTCACCCAAAGAACCTTGTCTGCCTATGACCTTAGACCAACACAGCTACAACCTACACCTCTTAGATACTGTGCATTTAATTTAATATTCACTTAATAAAGTACTAACTAAATGCAAAGTATCTAGAGTTACTGCGCAGTAGCGCCAGTGCAGTTATTTAGTGACGCTTATTGTGCATTAGCCTAATAACACTGCACAGTAGGCTCTTAGTACAGTCTTTACTGTGACGCACTACTGTGCAGTGTTTTAGGGTAATGCACAGTAAGCATCTCGTGTACATGCACCCAGTGCTTCAAAATATGTTCCTATATTTTCAGTATAATTTTTGAGGCAGAAGTGCTTGCTTTGAAGTACTCCATCGATTGCATACATGTATCCTCACTTTTCGGAGCACTTTGGAGATGCTTGGAACACTTACATGTTACATCTGTATACATCCTCAAGTGCATCCCATACAAGACAAAAGCAAAAAGAGCTTCGTAATGATTCAGTTCATAGAACTGGGGCTGATTTATTATTTTTTTATGGTCAGCACCCCAGCTCTCCTCATGCCTTTACAGCAAGTGACATCCAGGCCAGACCTAATCTTGTGAAGGTAACAATGCCTCAGTGTATGCAGTGTGATGAAAGAAGTTCCTAATGAAGATACTGGGAGCAGTATAAGCACAAGAAAGTGGTATTTTCCTAAGGATGAGTTAACATATTGAACTCAAGTGACTGATGTACGAGTTGAATTCTGCAGTACACAAAGGACCACTGTAGTAGCACAAAATCACTATGCTATAATATGAAAATACTGTATACACAGTTTTCTTAACCCTATTGCTGTTGACTGCAGCAATTAGAGGGAATTCAGGAATGCACAGAAGTCATGCCCTCTCCTGCTGGTAGCTGGTACTAACACTATGGGGCAGACAAACATAATCACTACATAATCACAAACATAAACATACATGGTAAAAATCCCTTTTTACTTCTATTGCAAAAAAGCACAAAACCTATCATCCTTCAAGCCACTTGCTTGTTTAGTCACTTAAAGGGAGACTAAAGAAACTAAAAATAATCTAACTAAAAATAATAAGTAATATTTCCACTAACGCAAGTGGACTTCAGCAGAAAGATTACTAAAACTTCAGACTAAGAGGTGATAGCTGTCCTCCAAGTATCTGAACAGCATAAATGTAGGATACATAATTCTAGTATGATCAGCCAAAGGGATATATTAATAAAGGAATAAATTTAATGAAAATAAAAACAGACTGTGAAGATTTGGGCTCTCAGGAAAGACTTCCTCAGTTAGGTGGTCCCAGTTCCTAGAGCCAACTGAAAACTCAACTGGATGAATCAGTACAACATGTTCTGCTGACAACCATGGCATGGATATGAATGGATTAGATGACCTACCTCTTCTGTTCAGGGTTTTGTCCACGATCTCAACAAATTTTAGACACTTCCAAGAGTTCAAAATGAACCGTACCAAGTGTATTATTGTATTAAATGAATCCAGTTATCTATGTGTATGCGATTTTGTTATATCTTGAATTCATAGATGCTTAAGTCCACTTACCGATAAGAAGGGCTTACTGTTCACCGAGTAGGAAACCAAGTTGCATGAAGAGGAGGATGTGGAGAATGAAGCAAGCTCTTTCCCAGTTTCTCCCTGCCAGGCTTTGATAGTTCCACTGGCATCTGTTGTGATTGCTACCTTGTATTTTGGTAATGTAATAACTTTCAGAAGTGGCATTTCTTGTATGGGACTTGACCATATCTGCATACCCTAATCAACACAAAAAACAAGCACGACCACCACCATCCAGGCACCGGGTTATGGTAATTTTAACTGACATTTAACTTGTCAATAATGCAATAATACTTTTGCATCATTCTAAGTTACATATTTCAGAAACACTTTTCCGTATATTTTCCAATATTTGTTTTGAAATAGTTTTCTTCTAACAAAACAGCCACTCTGTTCTGCTTGCAGTTTTGGAATTCTTTAACTTACATTCCCCAGTGGATAATTATTATGACTCATCTTAACCTAGTGTATTTCAAAAATCCAGAATTGCAGCCAAGAAGCTCCTTCCAAACATTACATCATCACAAAAAGAACCTGATACTTCCTTTGGACCATAATTCTTGTTCGTCCTCCATATCACATCCAGTGACTTTGCAGAGTCTCACATTTCAAGTGGTGGTTAAAACAGTCTGTCTAATCTTACTCTCTTGTACTCTTTGGATATTTCCCATAATTTATGGGACATCAGCCCAGAAAGGGACATGCAGTGAGATTAAAACACTTGAGAGCAGTATACAATGCAGGCAGATTGCACAGCAGTATTTCCCACCTTGCTCTGCCAATTCATCTCACTTCTAACCTACTTCTCACCTTGCTAGAGGCTTGGGCAGAAACTGAATTGCATTTCACTCTGCCAAACTGGAAAACAGCTTCTGAAACAGGCAAGCAATTACAAGAATCAAATCGGACCAAACATGCTTCTACAAATCACTCCTGAAGCATTTTGTTCTGGTGGCCAAATTAATCCCTCGGCAAAAACTCTATTTACATCCACTGATGTCAGTGATAACTGAACATAAGTATTCCAGCTGCAAAATCATTCCCTGGTGTAATCTACATAGAAATCTTTAACTGATTGCAGTGACACACGTTAGAAAGCAGCAGTGCCTCTTAGAGCAGGGGTTCTCAATCCCTGGGCTGTGGCCCAGTACTGGGCTGCAGTGGATCGGCTGTTGGACTGGAAGTGGCTGCAGACTGGCAAACTGAGGCACCCCCCAGAGGTGGGTGGAGAGGCCACGGATCCTTATGAAGGGCCTGCGGCAGCACAGTGTTTGGCCCACCGCTCCACCTGGGAGGTGGGGGTATCCTCACCTGTCTGCCAGCTGGAAATTCCAGCCACAGTCAGCTGTGACTGCTGGGCTGTGGTTTGCCGGGCCACGGCCACTTCCAGGTCGCGGTTTGCCAGGCTGCAGCATAAAACTTTGAGAACCCTGTCTTAGAGGATTGATACCACTGTCAATGTCCACGAATTTATTAAAATAATGTATAAAAGGAGAATTATTACATGGTAATGCCTCAAAGGAGACAGAGGAAACACTACGCATAATGGAACTTGTTATTAGACAGTTTCTTAGGTACCATTATTCAGTCATTTCCATAAACAGTTTTCCAATGCTCTTCTCTCCTTAAAATTGGGTACTTAATACAATTCTAGATCTTAATTTATAGGCTAAAGATTTTCTTTCTCCACATATTTTAAGATTGAATTGAACAAAACTGTGTGGTAATAAATAAGCTTAGCTTTGCTAGAAGAATAATATTTGATAATAGCCATTTTTAGAGATGACAACCTAAATGCAAATACTCAATGAATAGCTTCCACAACACCCATCCAAGAAACCAACAAAGTGATTTTTAACTAAATTGTAACGTTTCACTCTAATGTTGGGGCAAGTTAAACAAAAAGTTTAACTGCAGAAAAAAGGTTTCCTTTTTCAGAACAGCAAATACTTCATTTTTCAAAGTGCTGATCTAAGATCTGATACAGATCCATTAACTGAATGAAGTCACAAATTCTGATGAATAATATATTACATTCTTTCAATATTTCTAGCATTCTGTTACATACATTGCTCGCAAACCCTGCCAGATTTCTTTGCTTCCTTCCTGACTACTGTGTCCATCTTTGAGAGAAGATATTTCACTCCCCCTTATGTATCATGTTTTTCCTCTTGCTACTTGAAGAATAATGACTACAAACCTGAATCTCTAGCAATTTGTCATATTTTTATGCATATAAAAAAGCAATCTTTGCCTATATGAAGTAAGGCAAGTGATACTTGGAACAAAATCTGGGTGGTCACTACTATCAACACAAATATTTAATCAAATTTGAGCTGAAAAGTTCAATACTGAATCTTCAAAAATATTCAATATTTTTCAATCCTAATATCTGGATTGGTGGGTGGGAGTGGTAGAGGGCAACGTGTGGCACTTATGCCATGAGGAGCACAGACAGCTGTGTGTGGCACACAGCAGATCAAGAAGTGGACAGGTGGCAGCAGACAGGGTAGGAAGCATGGAGCAGAACATCAGGTTGTGCAGGGAGCACAGGGCATGAAGAAGAAAGCAGGACAGCAAATGCAACAGGAAGGAGATCAGAATGGTAGTCAGGTATGGTGGTGGCTAGGCTTTACTTAAAGACCTGTTAAGAAACCAAACAAGCAAACAAAAATAAACTGTGGTTTTAAATTAAATGGTATCAAAATACTGGTGAAAATCAGTTATTTAAAACTTGGCTTTACATATGTACATCCATTATATTCTTAAGGAAAGGTCCATTCCCCTTGTTTGGCATAACTAGTCCAGTCCAATCAAAAGATAATAAGCCACAAATATCCTTGACTCTAAGGCAAAGCAAAGCTAAATTTATTAACCAGAAAGGTATACTCCATGTACATGGATTAATTTAAGCAACAACATGCATTTTACACAAATGTAAAAACTGGTTATATGAATAAGTGACTAACATCTTAATTCTTAGATAATATTGTTTTCAGAATGGCTTCAGCCACACCTGGATAAGAATTGGAATGTTATTATGTGTGAAAATATTTGAAAGTGGGTTTTTTGGTAATTAGTTTAATAGAACCATTATGAATGTGCTGCATGTGTAAGAAAAATAAGTTTCTTGAAAACTTATTTTAAACTTGAAACTGATTTAGTAAAAACAACTGTTTTGACAGTAGTTACTTAATTGATAGATTTATATCTGGTTACCCTGTGCCAGGTTTTTGAAGATATGTACATATGTAGCTAACTTGGTATTTTAAAAAATGCTACTGGGCATTTAAGTAGGCCAGAGGTTTCTATCCCATCCAAATCAATGACCATTGCCTACCTCCCTTTAATACTTATAGAAATCCCCTCGGGTATCTAGAGATGCAGAGAGACACCTAAATTCCATTTGATCTTGTCAAGTAGATATTTTAAAATTTATTTTTTTGTTTGACATAGATTTAATAGACTAAAAGGTGCTTAAGCCTTCATATAGTACAAAATTAAACAGGAAATTCTGACAACCAGAAATGTTTTTTTTAAAAAATTAAACCTAAAGAAATTAAATTTTTATCCATCTTGACATCTATGCTTTACTGTGCCTCACCTCTTGGACGTTCCAAGCTCGTAGAGTGCCATCAGTAGATGCAGTGCAGACAACAGACCTCAGCTTTCCAGCACCAAAGACATGGTCACTGTCAGACAAATAAGCCATGTCCATTATTTTTCCTGCAAAAGCAAAAGCACAAAAAAAAAAAAAGAAAACACTTTAAAATAAGGCCAAGTGATTTGATGCTCAGCAGAACAGCAAGACCTCTATTCAGCAAAACATTTCAGCCTGTGAGGCTTATAACATTGACCAAAGTGAGGATATATACCAGTAAAAAACCTAAATTACTTTCTGACATGGTGTCATTTTACCCTTCAAAACATTGTTAACTATATTCTGTCTCCGTTGGGCACGTCTACACAAGACACTTACCGTGTAGTAGCATGTCCATCAAAAACTGTGCTAATATGCTACTGCGCAGTGTTATTAGGTTCCTGTGCAGTAAGCGTCACAAAAAAAATGTGCAATGATAGTAACAGTAGTTACTGTACATTTAGTTAGTACTTCATTAAGCAAGTACTAAACTAAATGTTCAGTAACTACTGTGCATTAATGAATGTGTAGACACACCCAGCGTTATGCATTTACCAATAGTCTAAATGCAATGTTCCCTTTCTTTTCCTGACTTTCGATTCACACAGTGTTACCTATATTGTTACCTAAAATAAATTTAAATCAGTGCAACATTTAAGATTTTCCTACAAAGTGTCTGCAGGAGGGAAATAAATTATATAAATTAATCCTTATTCTGACAAGAGATTACTGAGATAAATGCTAATTAACTTTTTAACATACTACCTATATTATTAATAAAAATTGCCCAATTAATTTAACTCCTTTGACAATGAACATCCAGAACACATTTACAAAATCCAGTATGATGCATCAGTGGCCTTTATAGCTTTGTTTAAATGTTATTTACTCTAATTTTTTCTGTCTAAATGGAAGTACAATTGATTTATATCCTATTCATGGAATCTAGAGTTCTGTTTAACATGCTTTAGCATTACCATATAATAATTTGTGCTGTACTGCAAAACATTACACAAATACTTCCTACAGAATATAGGACAGATTTTAAATATATTTGGGTGCCTAAAAACACAGCTAAGTGCCCGAATACTTTTATGTATCTTGCCCTGAGCTATCAGTGGAACAAGAAAAGAACCATACAACATTACTTAAACAACACAAATAACAAATAAAAACAACTGAAATCAGATATCGTTTTATAGTATTTTCTGCACAGTGTTACTGTGGAATGAACCTAGTAATTAAAAAAAAAAGGATGAAAAATCAGGACTGTGTACTTTTCTGGAAAACATGCGGGCTTAAGGCCAGGTTTCTTCAAACCTAGTCCCCAGAAATTATTTACATAAATCCAAAACTTGGAGTTACATACTAAAAACACACGTTCAAAACTACATACAAAAATCTTTCAGGTTGCTTTCAAGTTATTACCTCTACTATATAAAAAACAACAAACTAAATTTATTTTGATATTTGTCCACCTAGATTTCTTGAGCAGTAGGATTCACTGAGACAAAGCACTGCAAAATACCACAATTACTGCAAAGTAAACGCTCTTTTATCACTCTCGCCACCTACCACTATGCCCCCTCATGGGTATGCATGTATAATCAGCTGATGGCCGTCCTGATGTCATTTGCTGCTCAAGTTTGGAGCGGTGGAGATAGTATTTTTTCCATGTTTGCACTCCTGGAGTCAGGTTTAAGATATTGCAAAAGGTCCAACGGTTTAGGCACATGTTTCTATAAAATAAAAGGTGGCCATTGGCTTAGTAATAGGAGACAGTTAAGAATAGTAATACAGAATGTTTATTTAAATGAGCGTTACTACCTGGGTACACTGACTATCCCAATGAAAGTCTTTGATAAAAAACACAATCTGTTATTTTGGTGGAGAATTTAAAATGTAGCAGTGGGGTTTTAAAGGGCTTCCCCCACTCACAAGCTGCAAAACAAGTTCCCTTCCTTAAATATTATAGGATGAAAATCAGGACATTTTTTTCATTGAGCTAGTAACATATTGTTGGTATGCTCTACCATTTTGGTCATTAAATGCACATCAGAAGATGAAAAGTGTTTAAACTACTGAACCAGAGAAACTGTTGAGAACAGTTTGAATGGAAATGTAACCCCTTGCAGCAAGGAATTAAAAACATGGTGAAGTAGAGAGAGGAAGCCATTCTGCGCTACTGGAGCTGATGTGAACTCTCACCAATTTCAGTAAGCACAATATAGCTCAGGAAGCACAAGCATTTTCCCCTTCACCCCCCACCAAGGCACTGCCACGCTTTAGAAGGGGACTCCTGACCAGCACAGAATTTATCTGGACAAAAGGAAGGCTGATAAAGTCCAAACACTCAAAACAGCCTTACCATGGCCATTGTAATATAATGACATGAATCAGTTGTGTATTGTTAAATACTCCTTCCACAGCAACCTGAACTGAACTGTGCATTCCTGATCAGTGGAATATGATTTTCTCTTAAACATTAAAATTTACCAACTCTCTGGCTCATAGTAAGTGCCAGACCAAGAAGCTGCAGCTGTGTTGAGTATACTCAATGGCATTAAAAGTTTTCCCAAGCTGGCCTGCTAATTAGAGGTGCACTGATATATCAGTCCATATTAGACTGGCACTGATAAAAGGAAAATTGACATTATTGGAAATCGTTTTCTTTTGGCTTGTGTAGCTGATAATGTCACTGATAAATGACGCATGCATGCACATAGCTGCAGCATGCACGTGGCCAGGAATGAAGGCCAGGAATGAAGCCCAGCAGCTTGGAAAGCAGTTTCGAGGCCCCCATGGTGAGGGAGGGAATAGGGCGAGAGAGGGAATAGGGCAAGGGAGGGGCAGGGGACAGAGCCGTGGGTGGCTTGTTTGGAGGTGGCTCCCCACTGCTGCGCACACCCCCAGGGGAGGCATGTGGGGACATGTGCCCCCTAGATTTGTGCGTGGGGTGAGGGACGGCTGCCTGCTGTGGGCTCAGGGCCAGGCACTGTGCCAGCCTCTTCCTGGCAAGGGGGCAGGGGACTAAGCCGAGGCTGTGCTTGGGGTGAGGGCAGGGCGGGGCGGGAGGCAGCAGCACTAGGAGCTAGGTTTTGGGGTAGCTATAATCCACCCTGTAATTTGCTGTAGTCACCCTGTAGCCCCTCTACCAGTGCTGCCGCTGCCCACCCTGCCTCCATCTGCCCTGAGCACAGCCCCGGCCTAGCCTTCCTGCCAGGAAGCCTTTGGTCCCAAGCCTGCAGCAGGCAGCCCACCCTTGTCCTGCACACAAATCTGGGGGAGCACATGCCTCTCCCAGGGGTGTGCACACTAGTGGGGAGCCTTCCCCTGCCGTGCACCCCTTGGACAAGCCGCCCATGGCGCTGTCCCGCGCCATCCTGCCCTGGCTGGGCAGCCCCTTGACCTACCCCACTCCCTCCCTCACTGTGGGGACCTCAATCTGCACCTCCCCCCCACATCCCTTCCCTCTTCCTCTCCACAGACTTACTGGCCAGATGTTGCTCTCCAAGCTGCCGGGCTGCATATCACTTATAGGATTGGTTTTGGCCAATATAATTGCCCATCAGTATCGGCCAAAAACATCTTTATTGGTGCATACCTACTGCTAATATCTCATTTTGAGGAGAAACTGTCAAGAATTAAACCAGAGGTGATCAACCTCTAGTCCACAAGTGAGATTCAGCTCCTGGTGCTGTGTCATCTGATCCATGGAGCTTTCCCCAGGTCTGTGCAAGTCCCGTGGGCCAAGCGCCAGGCATGCAGGGCAGTGCAGGGCCCTAATCCCAGTGCATGGGCCCTGATCCTGGCACACGGGGATCAGCCGAAGCCATGCACAGCCTGATCTGGGCATATGGGCCCCATCCAGCCCAGGCCCAGCCCTGTGGGGCCAAAAGGTTAAGCTCCTCTGCAAACATTCATAAAATGCTACTAACAAAAATTTAGTTAGTTATCTATATTGCTGCTGTGGTACCAGATGTGTGTAAGAGAATCAGATGAAATAGATGCTGTCTTCTCAGAGCAGTAAACATCTAGGCAAACAACATAAGATGTCACTGCCTATCCATGTGAATGTAGTTTCAAGTCAGTCATTGGAGCATCCCCTAAAGGAAATGAATTTCAACCCCATGCTGGGATGTAACGGAGAGTGAGAGCATCTCCAGTTTACTGTTTCTGAAGAGGAAAACCAGAGACAGACTGGGTGCCCGCACTCAGAGCTTGAAAGGGATGAGGATACCCAATACTTCAAGATACTTTTACAGCACCTCACAAGACTAGTTTATTGAAACTCCATTGGAGGGAGACCCTAGGAAAGGCTCATGAGACCAGTGACTTCCGACCACCCCCAAGAGATGACAAAAATGGAACTGAAGGCGACTAAAAAAGGGCAAAGAAGTAGGTAAATTTATGAAAATCGGAAACATAATGAAACGTGCCAGCGAGAGAGACTGAGCAAAGAACCCTGGACAGCACCCACCGACGTGCTCAGAGAGAGCACAAAGCATTCTGCTGCTTCAGAACCAGAGCTGAACAGTTACGCATGGCCAAGTACAGAGGTAAACTCTGAAACGTGGAGGGGAGTCTTACCTCCAGAGGGAAGTGGTGTCTGCAGCTTCCTTCCATGCCTGTTGTGAAGGAAAGAGGGAGGCACATTTTTAGAGTGGTAAGGAAACATTATTGGTCCCATCTCCTTTCCTACCCAAGGTGCAGTAAGGTCAGTCCTCGAGGGGAGCAGCAGGCTGGGAACTCTAGTTAACGTCCCATGCACCTGCTTTTTTCAACCTTTACATTTTGGTTGAGTGTTTTGCACAGGTTGGTTGGGGAACTGTCAAAGCAACGTCCCGGTTATAGTTTACACTTCCTATAAGAGCAGCAGTACAGATAAAGTGGCAGCCAGAGAGCTGAAACTCTGACTGTGGAGGGGCTCAGTAAGGCTCGCAAACCACAACCCAGAGTCTGAAAAGATCCACGGATACCCCTTCCTGCGCCACATCAACCTGCTCCTGGAAACAGCGACAGCAGGGCAGAGGGCAAAACCCACCTTGTGACTTGCCCACCCCAGGACAGCGTGACCTGAGCTCTAAGACCAGCACCACCGCCACCAAACACCCCAGCCGGGCCCGTCCGTCCCGACCCGGCCACAGGCCCCGGCCCGGCCCGCCCCCCTGAGGCGGCG